GACAAAATATTAAAAAAAAGATGACAAGATAAATAAAAAATAATTGATATCGAATAGTAAACGACGGACAATCGTTATAATGTGAAAAAAAAGATCCATTGTCGTTCAAATTTGAAATGCTTTTGATTGTACTTTTTTCGATTTTTCTTTAATTTCTTTTTCTTTAGAATGTTGATAGAGCTCATCTATAAGGTAAGAGCATACAAAAACAACTTATATCGTAAAACTCCAAATTTCAGAAATCTTCGTCGTTTTCTTGAAGATAGAAGATTGAAAATCGTAGCTATTCAAGGTTTTGATGAACCATGTGTTAGAAAATAAGTGGATCGAAGGGCGGTGGAATTGAGAAAATGTGATTTTGTAGGCCCTGTTCTATACGGGAGAGCTAGTTTAAGCGAAAAGTTACACAAACGGTTGTTTTTTGGAAATTATACAAATATCGGTAATAACGCAGATTTTTCTCCACGACTGGTTTGAACCAGTACAGTGCTCGGCAATTTCGGCAATTTGTTGAGAAGAATAAAAAGATTTCAATTTTTGTGAAATACTGATGGATAATTTAATAGCCGAAATTTTCGTTATCGGCAATCAAACCAGTCGTGGAGACAAATCACGGCGGCCGATTGCCGCACAGCCATGATTTGAGTCCGCCACCATCTTACTTTAAAACTACTATTGGAACGGAGGACAGCGACGGGGGAGGGTTAATTTTATAAAATTGGGCAAGAATTAACGCTGATCTGATTTCATTAAGTTTTTCTTCATATTCGAGTTTCGAATATCAGCGTAGTGGTCAAAATATCGTGGTTGCTGAAATATTAGTAACCTAATTGCACCTGTTTTGAAGTTAATGATTTAACGTTTTCTATGTTCATAATCGACATAGATTAATCTAGTTTTATTTTTGAATACTTTTTTCTTTAATTATTAAAAATCCACTTTTTAATATGAATTTTGAAATTTATTTAAAATAGAAAGTGGATTTAAGATATTAAATATTTCTAACTCGGAACCTTGAAAGGGTCTTAAACGGTTTTAATGTCCAAACGGAACTTTCAGGTTTATCAAAGTATTGTTGGTGAGGATAAATATCAATCGGGTCAATAAAAACATGCTAATTTCTTAGAAATAAGAAAAATAATAATTTTTCGATTAGGAGAAAATAAATGCTTGGATTTTGAGAAATCACTCTTGTACATCTAATTTCTCTATTTCGTTTCTTTCTTTGAATGCAATTACAGAAATCACATAATTTGAACAATATACGTTTTGAAAAACCAGAACATAGTTTGAATCAGGGCTGTGCGGCAATAGAATTGCCGAAATTCTTATTTTCGGCAATTTCATGTCGAAAAAAATCGACGAAACAAAAAGTTATGTTCATTGAATAATTTGGGATACCGTGAAAATTCGGTATTTGTATTTCGAATTTTCGTTAAAAAAAATTCAATAGCCGAAGTTTTTGAAAAAGGTTACACTACGCTAACATGGGCGCAGAAAAATTTAAAAAAAAGGGGATAAGTTTGGAATTTTAATTGGATGTGCTTTAATTGAAGCGTTTAAAATATGAGAAAAACGATGAAGCAATCAACGTTTAATCTCGCAATGATTATCAACTAAACGATCGGAAGGCATTGTATTTGAAAAAAAATTAATCAATCAAATGTAGCGAAAAAAGTAATTTTTGACGAAGTAAAGAAGAAACGACGATGACAATCGAGAACCTCTAAAAAAATGAGAAATCTAGTTATAAAAATTGGAAACATCGATGGATGTGAGTTCTAACAATAATTTTCGAAATTAACTATTTTTATATTAGATATTGTTTGTTTTTAGCAGAAGCACAGAAGGTAAAACTGCTTTATGAACATACCAATTTTCCACATGAATACTTCAAATAATCACGTTATTTTAAGAAAAATGTTTGAATTTAATGAAACAATAATAATTTTTAAACCATACGTGATCCAATTCATTCATTTCTCCTATTTTTATTTTCCGTCGTCATGTTTGTCGTTTTTGTGTCGCCCGTTTCGATTAGAATATCTGCAAGAAGTAAAAAAAAAAGATGATAATTCAAGTGGTTTAAACGGTAAAACATAATAAAAATCACTAATTGACATAGTATTTCAAAAAATAGCTTCGAAATGCTTTAAATAAAACAGTTTTGAACAATTTAATTAGGCAAAGTTCGGCGTTTTTGTATAGCGTATGTTGAGAAAAACAGTTATAGAAAAAAGAACAGCGCAAATCAATGTTTTCCGATAATCGGTGCCAGTTTTTCCCTATGAGCGTAGTCCGCATTATGTCGTCATTTTAGTTACTTACGAATTTATTTCTACAGTAAACCAACATTCCACGTCTTTCGTTGCCACATTTTAGCTTTAATTTTTAATTTTAAGAAATTTTGTTAGAACCTCTATTATTATTATTATTATTATTATTATCGCAGCGTTTTTGATTTATTTGTCTTAGCTTGTTATTAAATCAATTAAATGCTAGTTTTTTAGGCTAAATCAGCTGATGACTTCATTTTTTTCATTGGACGACTGCTTTTTATCGACTACTTACGTATGTTTTTTTTTTTTAAATCTGTTCAAAATCAATTTCAATCAATTTCGAACTTAATTAAAAATAATAGATAATTAAATTACATTTTAAATATTGCGCTTAACCGAAGTTTCTACAACGAATATGTCTTGGACCGCTGTGTGCGTGTCTCGAGAACATTCGTTGAGTCGGATTTGAGAGAGCCCGCACGGGTGCCGCGCTTCTCGTGCCACGAGACGCGGACCAACACCCCGCATCGGCGACCCAAAGGGTCCGACCCAGGAGGGAAATGCCTGGGGAAGTCTAGGCGCACACGGTGGAGTGGCGTCGAGGCGGTTCGTTGTTGAGACTGCCGAATTGGCGACTTTAGTTAAAGCAATTTTCCTCTTGTAAGCGCAATAAAAAAGAAACTCAAAAATGGAAATCTCGAAAGGTTTGGTAGAATTGGAATAAAAACAGCCGTTGAAGTGTTTCTTCGGTTGTTTCCACTCTACCGATGTCTGGCTGGGCCTCGGTATAGGCCAAGCATGGCGGTGTCGAAGTGCAGACTTCCTGCACTCCACTAGCCTCCTCCCCGAGTAAATGCACCAGCATCTTTTGAAATAGCTAAAGAATAACTGATTAAGGCTGTAAATATTACCCATTCTAGTTTAAACCTTTCTCACACCTGTTCACCCCCCCCCGTCCTATATTATACTTATAAATATCAGAAAATTCTAATATTTCATTTCCTTTTTTTCATGGAATTGGAATACGAAACAACGAGACGAGGAACAATGGAGATGGATTGCAGCTATTGGAATAGTGACAGTATTCATTATTTAATCTATTTTTCGATGTTTTTTTTTTCAGGTTGAAGCAGTTTGAAGCTGGATCATGTGAGCGGCACTTGATTGTTTGAGAGGCTTCTAAACGGCAATGAGAACCCGATTGCTGGAGAAAAGGATTTTTTAACTCAAAAATCCAATAGAAATGATTCAAAAACTAATGTAGAATATATTTGTAAATTTCGTCGAAATTCCGTTATTTTCAGGGAGAAGTTGACATATATTTCGATTATTAGAAACAAAAATGCCATTGGAGTATCATCTGTCATCATCTCAACTTCATGGACAATACTTTTAAAATTATATTATTTTGTATTTAATTCAATAATTTATATTTGTATTTTAACAATATCCAGATTGCTCCTGTTTTTCTAAAAACGTTCAAAAGTGGTCCAGTCGAAGGATTGAATGGAATTATTCTCTGCACGGTCTCTTTCACTGCTAGAAATCTGACCCCCTTTCCATAAACTGAACGTGTCTCCGCGGTAAGTGGTTTTTACTTCAGTATATAATTTTGCGTACGAGCGTTCACTTGTGTGAACTTAAAATGTTGATGTCTGGCCTCGTCCACCGTGATTTCAATATAGATTATGTACGTTTACAAAAAATCCTTTTCTGGAAATTCTGTACTTTTTTTGAAAATAATTTTGCACCTATATTGGCCTGCTAAGCAATAGGTAAACGAAATTTTTAAAGTTTTGGGGTCGACTAATGTTAAATGGGGCCTACTTCTTAAAAATAATATCCTCCCCCCACTTTTTTTACAATTAAACCAGGAATCGAAATATTTGCCCCACAAATTGAACCATTTTACAAAAAAGTTTGATTATATTAGTCAAATTTTTATGCTTTTGCGATTCCCGCGATATATGATTATTATTCTAGATTTGAGGATTTTTAATCGTATTTGGAATTTCGCATAATTCGCGGGCGTCCGCGAATTCTTCCGCACGAATGGAAGTTTGGTATTTGAAAAAATCCCAGATATTCGAAAAATTCCCATTTTTATGTCAAATTATTTCGATCCCATTTGTCAGGTTCACATTCCATTCTCAGGAAAAACCAGTGTGCTAAAAGCAAAAAAGACTTTCTGAACATTTACGAACATTATTGACTGTTTTTAACTATATTACTTTTTGATCGAATTTTGAAAAAGAAGATAACTACTCAATCAGTTGAGGTGACAGGACTTATATTTTTCGCATTCTCTGTTTCGCCACCTGCGCGGTCGGAAAATGTTTGCGCGGCGAAAATTTTGTCGGTCACCTCTCAAAACAAACATAATTCAATACATGTCTTTCTTTTGTTCAACTTTTCCTTCCATTTCATGAATATATGAATTTAGTTCTAACGTATCGAATTCTTAAAAAAATATGTGGCCGAATATTTTTCAAAATAAAAAATTAGACCGCGAAATAAAAATCTTGAATTCATACGTTGGACACTTATCCCTCTTTTTTCTAAATTACGAAATATTTTGTATACATACAAATGATTCATAGGCCTATGACACCGGTGTGGTGTTTGCTTTAACAAAGGAAAATTGATTTTATTACTAGTTTCTTTCACTAATCATATTTTTTCTTTCATCAATCATTAGTTTTTTTTAAATTCCAGATTCTCATGCCAACATGGAGCTGTGTTTACTGTACATTAGTAAATGATTCAAACTTCACGTTATGTCAAGGATGCGGATCAAGGAATCCAGGGAGAAAATCTAAAAAAGGATCAAGCATTATTCCCAAAAGCATTTCAAATGCAGGTACATTATTTTTTCATTTTATTTTAGTTAACCACTTAAAAAATTGCAGTCAAGGATGTATCAAATGCAATTACGGAAATGATAACATCAAATAAACGACCCACTCATCATATAGTTAGAATACCAGAAACACCGTGAGATTTCTATATCCTCAATTGTTTTATATTATATATTCACAATTCAAAATCAAAATTCAAGAAATTAAATGTGATTTTTTAAGAATTCTCTATAGCGATCGAGTTCCCATTCCAAATGGACCTTTTATCGACAATTCGGCAAATGGAGAACGTATGCTTTTGTTTGATAAAACTTTTGAAACTTCCTCAGACCATGAATAGAATGAACTTTGCGACTAATATTGAGATAATAAGTGTGAATGTAAATTTTTTTCAGGAAACTCTTCCAATTCAACATTTTTCGTTCCAAGTTCACAACTGGTCAGTTTACGAGAAATTGATTAAAAGCAAAATCTCTTAATTTTCAATATCAGACCTCTTTCTAATCGCTTACGATAATGTACCAAATGCACTATTTTATAAATGGCAATTGAAAAGGGCATAGTAATTTTCTATTCGTTCTCAATTCAAATAGAGCTCTTCGAATTTTCTCATTGTGACCAGCTGAAATTATTTCACGATAATAACTCGGTCTGAGTTTTCCATCCTTCTTACTACTTAGGCGTTTTTCTAATTTACTATTTAAATACAGAAAACGAAATAAATATACCTATTTACAGGGTGTCATTTAAGTTCCCGCACAACTTTGAAGACGTATATTTCTGAAACTAAAAGTCCAAATCAAACGAGACTCGAAATATTTTTTATCTATAGTACAACAAATAATTATCTTTTAACTCTTTTCGATTCGGTCTTCTTTCGCAGCTATGACTTCACGGAGACGCTTCGGGTAGGATGTGACTGTGGTACGCAGATATTCGATGGAAAGATTGTCCCATTCCGCCAGTAATGTCTTCTTCAGAGCCTCTATACTTGAGTGGGGTTTTGCGTTGACCTTCTCCTGCAAGACCCCATCACGGAAAAGTCAAGCGGGTTCAGGTCTGGGGAGCAAGCAGGCTATTCGGATGACTTGATGAAGTCGGGAAAATGGGTCTGGCACCACTCCTGAGTAGTTTTGGCAGTAGGGGCGGGTGCTCCGTCCTGTTGAAAGACCCATATCTTCCCACCGAAATGCGTTTGGGCCCAGGGCATCATATGCTTCCCCAAAATGTCCCGAACGTAGACTTCTTTGTTCACTTTCACCACCTGATCCACGAAAACCAGGGGCACTTCGCGGTTGAGCAGATGGCACCGAAAACCATCACACTGGCAGGATGTGAGGCTGGATGAATTGTTCTTCCTTTCTCAGAAGCTTTCTGGGATGTCTGGGCAAGTACTCAATGGTTTTGTGAGTTGAATGCCGCCTCCACAGTGAACAGCTTCTCGTCGGAGAAGACAGTGGCGAGGTGTTCTCCAGACCGCGTGCGAGCAAAAAGTCGTTTTGCTTTTTCGAAGCGTCTCTGCTAGTTGACGGCCGATAGAATTGCCGCTTTTTGGACGCGATATGGGGTCAGTCCAAGCTTCGTTTTGACCATTTGTTCCATAGCGAAGATGCTCATTCCCATGTCTGACGCCATCTTTCTTATGCTCCTGTGCGGTTTTCGCCTGATCCTCGTTTTGACGGCGTTGATCTTCTGAGGAGTGGTTACTGAGACGAGTCTTCCTTGTCTGGGAAGGTCACTGGTCGTATTTAGCTCCTTGAAACGTTTGTTGGTGTCTTAAACCGTTCTACGAGGCACACCGAGGCGTTGAATGATGGCTCTCGGGCTCACATTTCGCTTATGAAGTTCGATAATGGAAGCGCAATGGATGTTAGCCTTCGCCATTTCTCGGAAACACATCCGAATGAAGTGAAACTTGAAAAGTAAGTAAAATACACCTTATTTAACAAAAATAAATTGTATTGGTGCACGAAAAGTGCGACAGCCAAGCTTTTCATGGCGTCTAACTTTTGTGCGGGAACTTAAATGACACCCTGTATTCGAAATTTTCGCAGCTTCGACAACCAATTGTGGTCTATAAACGGTAGCTGTTTTTTCGTAAAAATTTAATTCAGTTTCAAATTAGAAGTGATAATACTTAGTTAATATGACCCGCGCTATCATGAACGCAATACGCTCGTCATTGATAAAACAGTGAACACATAAAAAACTTAAGTCCGTTAAAATTATTTAGATTGTCTATTCATTTTTCATATATCGTTTGCCTAATTTCGAAATCCTGTTCCTATAGAAACCAGAACAACAAAATTTGTTTCAGAGATACGAAAATTTTGATCCAACGTCAATTCCTGAATCTTCCAATCACGAACAAATGTGCTCTGAAATTACTTCGAAAATTCAAAGTGATCTGGTCAAGGAAAACAATGAAATCTATCGCAACATTGTCGAGATTTGCACGTATGTTTTGCCAATTCAGTGACCAATTCTTTTTTTGACTTAACTCATAAAAATTGTATGATCAATTGCCTGAGACCCTTCCGAAGAAAAAAATTTTCAAAAAATCATTAATCAAAAATTGTTAGTCAAAGAATAAAAATTCATGATACAATTTTTATGACTCAAAAATCATGAGTCACTGAACATTGTCCTGTATGTTTTCATATTATTCCCACATTTGAATTCGAATTTTTTCAGAAGTTTAAAAACAAATTTTATCGATGACTCATTTCCGCATAACAAAAGCTCAATAGGAACTGTGAAGCATCGAGTGAATGGAGTCGAAATCAGTCCGATTCGAGTTTCTTCGTAGCTATGCTCAAATTTTTAGGCCACGATCCAAACTTCCTAATATGGCTTCGACCTACTGAAATTAATACCAAAGATGGAAGACAATATCAATGGACAATATACAATAACCCGGTGCCATCAGATATTGAACAAGGAAACTTAATAGGCAACTGTTGGCTGATGTCTGCGATGGCTCTTATTGCCGAAAAACAAAATATTCTTGCGGAGATATTCCCGAGAAATGAGTATTCACACATAGGAGTTTATCAAGTCAAGTACGTGTTTTATCAGACTTACGTCTTCCCGTAATATTAAATGACAGACTTTAATGATATTATTATGTACTGATAAGAAGGTGACAAATGTTGAAAAATTGATGTATTGTCGTGAATTTAAAAACATACATCGGAAACTTCAAAGGAAACGAAAATTGATAAAGTTAAGGGTATGCGTAGAGGGACAATGGAAAGTGATAATCGTCGATGATTATTTTCCTTGTTATGCGCAAACTCGATCACTTGGGATGGCAATTGGAAGGAGAAATCAAGTTAATTTACTATTAAGTGCTTAAGCAAATTGAATATTTTAGCTATGGGTACCCTTGATTGAAAAAGCACTAGCAAAGGCTGTTGGAAGTTATTCGAAGCTTCATGGAGCATCTCTTACACAAGGTCTTTCAATGTTAACTGGAGCTGCTTGTGTGAACTACAATACGCCTGAGCAACCTACCGATTTCGACACATTTTGGGCGAAACTTGTTAGCTCAAAGTAGGATTGTAATATAGCTTGAATTGCGAATTGAAATGATTTTCAGAGAATCGGGATTTTTAATGTGCTGCGTTTGTGGTGGACGAGAAACTACAGTCGAGCAAGATTATAAGTAAACGAAAACCGTATTATTTATCATTTCCATTGCTACTTTTAGATCGCAAGGATTACTCACAAATCATGCGTATTCAATTCTGGATGTGGTAACAGTTCATAATCACCGTCTTATGCGGATTAGGAATCCATGGGGATCATTTGTATGGAACGGAAAATGGTCGGATTCTTGGCCTCATTGGCCTCCAGGTTTAAATTCTAATAGGGTTCGAAGAATAAAACGAATTTAAGATTTGAAACAAAAGCTTTTGTCATGTCGAAAACGGGAAACAGGAGCATTTTGGATGGAACTTGAAGATTTTATTCGTTTATTTTCATTAGGTAAGATTTTCTAAATGCCAAACATTTAATGTGATGTCTTGGCACTTAGTATGTGCCTTTATCCTTATACTATGCAGATTTTGCACAAAGCTCTAGAAACCCTATATTGATTGCGTAACAAACTATTTTATGAGTTTTTCTAGTTAGTAAGTTAGTTTAATTGAAAGGAATCCGTGGGAGAAATAAGAAGAGAAATAATAATAAAAAGAATTTGAGTATAAATAAGATAAGTACAAAATTGATGGCAACAATATGAGTTAATTATGTGTAGCAGTGTGTGCAGTGTGTGCTCTCGAGAAAAAATTCTCGAGAAAAATCGAGAAAATTAACCGGTACCGAGAGAATTTCTCTCGAGAATGTCTTCGAGACTCCCGAGACTTTCCAGAAAGTACCGAGACTTGCAAGAATTTCTCGAGACATTCTGGGGAGTCTCGAGACTTTCTCGAGAAAAATCTTCCGAGACTCCCGAGAAATTCTCGGGAGTCTCGAGACTTTCTCGAGAAAAATCTTCCGAGACTCCCGAGAAATTCTCGGGAGTCTCGAGACCTTCACGGGAATTTTTTTAGTGAACAAAAAAATTATTTTTTCTCCTTTAAGTTCGTTTCAATACTAACAAATGCTAACAAATGAGGTCTTTTTGCTGTCCGTCTTAAAAGTTGTCAATTTTTGCATACAGATTCTTTAGAAAATTTCCAATCGAATGAACTAAGTTCCTCCCTACCTGCGAAAACTTCTAGTACGCAAAATTCACGTGAGTGGGGCTAAAACTTTGATGGTCCATAACTCGATAACTAGAAGTTTTCGCAGGTAGGGACCTAGTTCATTCGATTGGAAATTTTCTAAAAAAAAATCTGTATGCAAAAAATTGACAACTTTTAAAACGGACAGCAAAAAGACCTCCCTTGTAAGTTAAAAGTGATTGATATGCCACCTAAACTAAATACTCACATTACGCATCAGATAAAGAAAGAATTTAAACGAATGAAGATATTTCCTACATATTTGTGAATATTTTCGAAACTAAAAAAATAGCTGTTTCGCTTTAACCGCGACGCATACGCGTCGCGTTTCGGTTGTTAATCGCGGTCGGCTAAACACGCCAACTTGAAATTTTGGTCTTGGTGAAACATATGGTACTAAAACATTATGGTACGAAAACCTTAGACATAACTTTAATCGCAAATAATCGTATGCAAAAAACGATTTATTTATGTATTAATCCCCTTTTTATACGGCGAACATTTTCAAAATATGTTGACTATGCTAGTTTTCAAAACCCTACTAGTTATCAATTTAACTACTGAATTTCATCAATAAAAAAAATCCCGAGAAAGTCTCGAGACTCCCGAGAAATTCTCGGGAGTCTCTGAAAAATTCCCGAGAAAGTCTCGAGACTCTCGGTTCCCGTACGCGCGACTACCCGTATAGTACCGAGACTAATAATTTCGAAAATTTCTCGGTGCTTCCGGGAGTCTCGAGAATTTTGTTTCTGGGTAGTTTAGGGAATTCTCGGGAAATTCTCTCCCGGGAAATTTTTCCTGGGAATTATGAGGTGCAGAATTTTCCCGAGCAGTTTTTCTCCCGGGAAGTGTAGAAAATTCCCGAGAAATTCCCGAAGACTCCCGGGAATTTTAGAGAATCTGTGCATGGGGGAAGTCTCGGGAAATGTCCTCGCGCGAGTACACACCGATGTGTAGGAAAACATATAATGCGGGATGAGTAATAGGGCTGAAAGATGTGTAGGAATTCGAGTAAAAAATGGTAAATAAATAGAGCCGAAACCGAATTTTGCGTTTTTTTTTTTTGCAAAATCTGCAGTAGTTACATGTTTCCTATAAAATCACCCTTATAATTTTTATGTATTGATGAGCATTAGGTTCTCGACATTAATTTATTTTTCTCTTTTATAGTTACCGTGTGTAAGGTTCATTCGAAATGGTCAGAACTTCGGTTTTCGCAAGTAATCGAGTCGTACAACGATAATAAATCGGAAGTTCTTCAATTTAACGTTTCTCGAACATGTGAAGCGTCTTTCATGGTTTTCCAGAAAGGTTCGGTTGGAATTGATCATGAAAAAGCGGTAAGAAATTTAGGAAGGTAGTAAATGATGCAATAAGTAATAACATTTCAGAAAGATTTGATGCTATCAATACATCGTGTCTCAGGAAATGGTCAAATTGGTGAATTGGTGGTTAGAACAAATCGCGTTCCAGATCGGCACGTTTCAACAGGTTTCATTCATTAATTAGTACTTTATAGTATAAATCGAATTCAGATGAAACCTTCCTGACACCCGGCACATACATTGTTCTTTGTTTCAATTTGAAGGATCACGCCAAAATTCCCGTAAATATTGTTGTGCACAGTTCGAATGAATTGATCGGCGAGAAAGTTCTATTTACGAGTTCGATGTATACCCAAGCACTCCATCAAATCGTAATGAAAGATGGAACTTTGATGCAAACAACCGAAGGTAGTATTTGTGTTCGAGTGCTTACCGTTAATTTCCGTGGAATGATCATGGTGGCTGAGAACAATTTGGAGAATCGCTATTTGCACATTTCGTAACTATTCGTACTCATGAATGGGAGTAAAATATTCATTTTAGGGCTGATTTCTCTGAATCAATGAACATACAGTCGTCGAGAGGGGCACTAATAATTGCTAATGTTATTCCACCACTCCAGAAAGAAGTAAATTTCTATAATATTACATATTATAGAAATTCTGATATTGCTTTCCAGATTGTTGTTATATTGTCGACAATTGATGATATGGCTCAATATCGGATATCAAATAACCTTAAGGTTTGCTCTCCCTTATCAGATGTTCCCATTATTCCATTGTGCTTGTTTAGACCATGGTGTGTTCTAAAAAGTATCTGGCTAAGGAAATATGTTACGAGGCCGCTATGTTTCATCCTAAACTTAGCCGTTATCCTGCTATCAAAGATGATTTGTCCAGTGTCATCCACAAATGTGTTTCCGTCTATTCAACTCTTCAATAGCACATGTTTATCGCCGATTTGAAGGTGGCTGTTTCGAGGAAGTCAAGAGTTTCCATCGATGAGTACCGAATCAAACGGGAACGGTCACGATTGAGAAGAAAAAGATATCTAGTGCAAGTGTAAAAGCCCCCCCCCCCCAATCTTCAAGTTCATTCCTCCGCCTGCACGAGTATAGACGTTTTTTGCATTTCCTTTTGAACTTTTACTGTTGCTGCCGTTGACTGCGGGAACTTTGGTAAATGTCAAACAAAAATTGGCAATAAGTAAAAGTAATATTACTTACGTAAAAATGTATAAAGAATTTTTTTTATTTATCACAGGAATGAGATCAATTAAATTACTGGAGAAGAAGCATTTACACGTAGCATTGTTAGAATGAAAATTGCAACATATTAGATGCTACTGTCGTCGTCAATCACCACAAATGGACGTGAGACTTGTCGGCCGTGGCCGGTTTTCAGGATTAGGCCGCTATTGCGCCATCTTAAAAATTTTTGAATATCGGAGCGTCAGAAATCATACCTTGTTTGCTCCCGATATTCCTTTTTACTAGCACAGCAAACATCATGAGCATGCTTAGAAGTTATAAGAAAATATGCACAAAAAATTGAAAATATAAATCCAATAACCAAAAGGAATGAGCCAAACATGTGAATGTAGCAAGCGGATCCCAAACGCTTCTGAAATTAAGATTCTCATTTTTCAAAATTTTCCTGTGATGGCTACATATGACATCAATGCGCTGCTTCTTTCACTTCTGCTCATTATGACTGTTTCGCGTGTGATCTCTTTGAGTAGTTGATTTGGTTTCTGGCTAAACGCATATAGAAAAATGACGTCGGCGAGAATCGAACAAGCTCCTGTCATGAATACTCCGACTACATAAAGTAGCGAATTCGGTGGGAAGCACGGCGAGCATGCTCCGATCGCTATTGAAATGCTGCCGAACACAAATGTGAAGACGGCGAAAAATATAACGCCTTTATGATGAGCTGCAGGATTTCGCGATTTTTGAAATTTTCAAGGGGAGAATATACGTAAAAATCGATGAAGAAGAAGCTCGCGAGCATCATCGTCGCCTTTCTCAAGGGCAATTCGTAGATTTGCTTGTACAGCGGTGTCTAGTTTACTATCACAGCGATCTCCTAAACAGTATCATTGAGCTTTATAAAAAATTATATAACCTCTTTGCTCGGCTTGCAATTCGTATAGTGGGATCAATGTATCGTGATGAACAATACAATCCCACCAAAGACCATGATGGTGAGATAAGTGGTTTCGCGGAAAATCGACAATCTAAAGTGAATTTGAAAATTTTCAACACAAATTTTTTAAAAAGTACCTCCCAAACTGGACTGAAGAGGCTAAATGCTGTCAGAAGAAGGCCGGCAACGATCAGAAGGATTGAAGTGATTAAAACGAATTTGTACATAACTCTAGCCATTTGGGCTGAAATGAAAAAGACTGCCGACGCTGAAATATTCATTTTCGAATATGACAACAAAAAGAGTAGAATTACAACAAAAACATTATTTTTTTTGTTTGTCTTATTTTTAAACAAAACGAAACCAAAACTAAAAAGCGTCGACTAAGCTGGAGTCGACTTCCGATTTTGACACCTCTCATGTTCATTAAATGCGTCTTATATCAAATAACGACTACTTGAAGGCGTTGAAGATGTGTCAAGAGAATCTGGCGGGCAAAACGTAATTCGAGATATCAAAAGTCGGTCGTTGAACGATTAAAAAAACAGCGAAGGTTTCAAGAAAATGCTCTCAACAATGATGCACTAGATTAAAAAAGGAAAAGCTTTCCGTAGAAATTACAAAGTTTTTTATTCTTGAAAATTTCTATTCAAACTTTTATATCGAAAAAAAACTTGAAAATTTGATTAGACTTCGCGAAAAAACCTGAAAACTAGTTTTATTGTTCTAACATAAAAAAATAGCAGAATCCTTAATTAATAGAATTAAACAAAAACTTAGCAATTGAAATTCAGCGTAAAAACGAAATTCGCATTGTCGGATTAATTAAAAATGTAAGAAAGAGTCTCGCTAATAAAAACCCGTTTTGAAAAGCTAGAATAAACAGAATCCATTTGTTGTTTTTTGCTTCCAAAAAAGGCAAAAAGTCAAAATGAAAATATCCCCCCTCGGATTCTCAACATCAAACAGGAAAAAATGACATTCTCTCGTCGTCAAAATGAGGGCAAAAAGAGAAAAAATGAAGAGGATGAAGAACAACATCAAGAAAAAGTTTTGAGGTGCTGAAAAGAAGAAAAAAAAAGAATGAAGAATGAGTTCATATTTTGGGTTTCAATTCCCAAATGAGAGCGCGAGAACAACGACGGATTGCGGAAAACAAGTCATGTTAATGAAAAATGAGCCAATTTCCGATTCTTTTGGCGTCATTAGTCACCAGCAAAACACAACCAACCAATGACTTATGGATCATGCATGCACATAAAAATTCTACGTCAAATCGTATCAGCATTCTCCTAGTATATGTCATATGTATTTCAAGAAATAAGGATATTTTAGAAATTATTTTCACTGATTTAAAATCGAAAGGTTCCAAGGTTTCTAGCACCGCAATTCGCAAAATGACAAAAAGAATAATTGAAAAATCGGATTGTGAAGTACTTTTTCTCAGTTGCAGTGTAGTTTTAAATTGACTTATTCTAATTCTATCTTATTCTTATTCTGCTCAATACAATTCATTAATTAAACGTTGCGAATTATAAATGAGAAAAGTCAAAATAAATTACTCGTTTGCACAAAAATTGATGAAAAAAAGCGGCCAAAACGTCAAAATTTTGGCAGAATACGTTTTGAAGTTTCAAAAAAAATTGAATTTGCATAAATACGTAAAACATTTCAAGATGACGAAAATCAAATTCGAAGCACATAAAAAACGTATTGAGCAAAATGTGAATTGGTTCGAAGATTTATAGCCAACTCAAGATTTTATCGTCAAGATTTTCGACTCATTTTTGCGAATTTCGACATTCGCAAAATATCATTGGAGACGAAGAGATGGAGACAAATAAACTCTGACAAATGAATTGGGATTTGAATGCGAAAATGAGGCAGTGCTCACAATGGAAGAAATCGTCGGATGGAATACGGAGAAAAAAATGCGGCCAGACATCGAAAAAGAGATGCGTACCAATAAAATTTGGAACATTTGAACAATGACGGATGAGTATTTGCAATTTTGATGTTTTGCTTCAGGAAGAAGAATGCGGAAATATTTAGATAGCTAAACTTTTCAAAATCAAAAATAAAAATTACAATCAAATTATCTACCTTTTAATGTATATGTACCACTATATATTTAAAAAAGCTTAAAAAATTGGTTTCAACTGGAAATAGAAGAACTCAGATCAAAAAGTTTAAACAATTTCAATAATTAACATGCAGAGTGTCTGAAGCATTCAAGATATTTGACGTCAATTTTCGCGTCACCATAATTTTTGAAGTCTTTACTCGAACTTTTGTGTTTCTCTCGCTCACACTAATCCAGTGAGATTCGAGAAAAACAAATGTCAAAGCTTTCAAGAACGTTGCAGATATCCTAATAGATTCTAACAACAAGTCGATTTTAATATATCTAGCACAAAAAATAATTCGATTGACCTCAGAGTTCGTTCCTGTTGCAGTATTTTTTTGAAGATGAAAAAAATTGCTCGCATTTAAAGTATTGTTAAATGATTTCTGAGATCGCAATTAGAAAAAAAATATTAAAATTCACTCAGAAACGAGCTCATTGTCAATTCGAAGGTTTGGAATTTGTGGAGAAACTATAATATATTTCCACTGAAATGTTTTGGCTTTGGAAACTCAGAAAAGGATTTTTCAAGAAGCAGCTAAGGTTCATTTCGAAAGACAAAGCTGCCGTTCCGAGTACGAACCGACCAAGTGCAACATTTTTTTGTGAGAAACTCCATTTTCTTGACACACAATTCAATTTTTTTTCGTCTTCATCTTTTCGAGTGTGTAGCGACGGCGACGGCGGCGTTCGATTGCATGCATTTCGGATTTGTCGGCAATTGCGAATGAATGAAAAGTGCAATGAATGAACGCGTGAATAACTAATGCCGACTGCAGAAAAATAATCGGGCAAAAAAATGGGAAAAATGAATGATAAATTGCGAAAATTCGGGTCAGCTTTTCCAAATAGGCAATCATTAATCACGTTTTAAAGGATTTTTCCACTCCTTTCAAAACACTTGAAACAATAAATCAGAAATTCCTCTTCACGGAGCAAAAAATCACATTTGCAAGCTCATCTTGAGACCAAGTAGTACTTACTAATGTGGGAGACTGAATTCGCAAATTTGATTAGCGGATCTTCTATTAGAAATTTCCAATTGGGACGACTTAAGAAATGCATCAAAATAATCATTTTTATACAAGAATATAATTGGATAATTGATATTTGATACAATCAGTTAGGAAATACTAAAACTATAATCATTGTCACTCAAAACCACGTATTTCAAGAAGTTTTGGGAATAATCAAAGCCATATTCATCGAATGTCTTCGATTTATAAATTCCAATGTCAAATTTGCTATGACCAAGAAATTAAATCCGCAGATTTTTGAAATTGCAAGGTCATAAAAATTTGGAATTTATAAGAGGCAGAATCGAAATAATCTCAAAACTATTGAAATGGAATGCTAAGCAGAATTCAAGCCTTTTTAAAAAATGATGTAATTGTTGCATTTTTCTTGGCAGTTTTCGATTGACCAGGCACAGGAACATTCAGCACTGGTTTCAACTAAAATAAAAAATTGAAGGTAAATACTACAACAGTTCTACCTTTTCCGGGCTTTTCAGCTTTTCTGGGGATACTTCAACGGTTTTATTTACTTCTCTTGTCACTGAAAGCGGAATATAAAATCACTGCACTTAAAAATGAATACACACCAAGATATCCATCTTCATCAACAAAAGTCTCGACAACCTTTTCGATTTTTGTCGTTCTTCTTTTCTGCGAATTTATCGAATCTTCTTGTATTTCTCCAACTTCTTCATCATCAGATTCAGCTATGATCTTCTTTTTTTTGCTCTTGCTTATCGCCGAATCTGCTATTGATAAATTCTCATCATTTTCAATATGCTTCGTTCGTTTGCGTTTTAAGACTAAACTAGTAATTGCAATAAATGAATAATTTAAAAAAATACGACTACCTTTCTTATCTTCTTCAGGCTCATCAACTTCCATATTTGGTGAAGTGCTACCATCAGAAGTTGAGTCAAAAATATCTTCATCGATTTCAACTTTTGGTCGCTTTCGACTGAGAAAATATTAACACAAATATTGATATTCTTACAAACTTTTTCCTTGAGAAAACGGGAGAAGGCGATTTTTCGAATGAATCTCGCGTTGATTCTTTGATTTCTTTAGTTGAAGTTGTTTCCGGTTCGCTCTTTTTCGCCTTAAATTTTTTTATAGGTAAAAGTGAATATTTTCCATCCAGATCAACTAGATACTTTACTAATGGCTATATACCTCTTTCGGCTTTGATTTGGCAAACATGCTCATTACGGATCCTTTGTTTTTACCATTTGCGGTAATATTTGCGCTTTTTGATTTTTCTGGTTGCGGTGGCGTCTTTTTCTTTAAAAAAAATTGATTTGATAATGCTTATACTAATTATTATAACCTTTGGCTCCATTTCTTTCACACCAGGTTCTTTTTTCGGAGTCAACAGTTTCTTTCCAGCCGATTGAGCTGTTTGAGCAACAACTAAACTAATCCGTTCTTCTTTATTCTCCCATGACTTCCGTAAAATGCTTGTTTCCTTCGGATTTGTTCGTTGAAGGCTATAAATATTAGTAGAAAACACCTAAAAATGTTGCTATAGACAAGTTAAAAAAAATAATGGATGAACCTGGTCAAATGCAGTCTTGGCCTTTTCTAAATCATCATCTTTCACAATCAGATGCTTCAAAATATTTAAGTTTAAACCAGAGCTGAGAAAGTTCACATCTAAAAAATATATTTAATAATGTATTCATTATGAGAACTCTACCCTTTGGCTTAACCGATCCGCTGATCTTATAATATGCCCACAAAGGTTTTCCTTTAGATTTCAGATATTCCTCAAATATTCTGAAATATATTTCAAATGATTCTGTTTGAATAAAACTATAAATTACTTCGCAGCTTCTTTCCTATCAATCGAAAATTTTGACGAAAATACGGAAACAGAAACTGGCTCACAGACGTCATCAAGAAACTTACTATGAACCTCGTTCATCCTTAAATTTTGATATTTACGAAAAATTTATTGAAAATCAGATATCTATAAGGATATAAAAACAGATTATAACAAGAATCTCAAATATCAAAAGAAATGTTTATTACTTTTGAAGACATGTTAACAATTACCCGATATTTAAATAGCCTACAACTAAACGAATCTAATATTTACATTAACAAATTTTCTATGATGAAGAATCATCAGGTAGTTGATCGATCTCATCCGTATTAATATCGAAGTTCTCGAACGCGGCATCCAAATTTTTCCATGTTCCCAAATAGCCGACATCAACAATATTGTTCCAGAACTCATTCCATGGCCAATCTTTAAGCAGAGGTGTTTGAGAAGAATAAATTCTTAACTGAAATAAATATTGGAGCTCCAAATATCATTTTTTTAAATTTACATTATTATTACTAGGACTTGAAACAAGCAACGAGAAAAACCACAGATTGTAGTAGTTTAGTCTATCTTTATTTAGTAAATAGTCGCGACGCACCATTTCAGCTTCTAAAATAAATTATATAACTTTTATTTTTTGAAAATTGATACTTGTTTTTGGATTATATTGGGAAACCGGCACTTCTGATAACTGTTGCCTTTTCTCACACATGTAATTCAGCATGTCTATTTCTGTTGGATTCGTTTTATACGCGTACGTCATGAATGCTATTCCGGAAAAGATAAATCCTACAAAAATTATAGTGTTAATAAAATATTAATATAAATATGCATAAATATATGTATATAATATATAACTAATCGAATTCAAATTCCCACCGGATCGAACTGGCTTCGATTTACAGCCCTCAAACGTATCTTTCGCCACTGTTAAATAGTCATTTCCCAGCTGTTTCCAATATTCTTTAAAGCTCGTGCTACATCTTTGAAAAAATGACTTCACTGATGCTGTAGCCATCCTAAAAACACGCGTTTAAAATTTTTTTATATTAACAATTAATTTTTACGATTTTCGCGGTCCTAAATTAATTTAAACGAATTCAAAATGCGTGATAGTTAATATAATAATTTATGCAAAATTTTGTTGTTGTTGAATTTATTGTTTCTCAGAAAATAAGGCAATAAAATTGAAATTCCTCCGCGAAAAAATAATAAATTCAAAAATTGTTGCAACGACATTCCACTTTACGCTGCCCTCCGGTTGTGTCTCGACACGACCGAGACATCTACGATAGCATTTATTTAGATGTACAAAGGGGCGGCTTTGTCGATTTACAGAGAAATATTTTTCCGTTGTGATTTTTTGGCATTGTTTAATATTATTGTTTGTTATTATTGTTGAAATATGTTGATTGTTCGCGATATAACTTAAATTTATTGATCAATTTATATCTTTAAACTTTTTTCGTCTAGAAGATTTAATTAAACTGAAATTTATCAACTTCATTTAAATAACTTTTTTTGCCACAAGTATTGTCAATACAACGTTTAAGCTTGATTAGTCTGGTGCGTAAATGCATTGCTAACGCGATTTGTTCAAATTGCAGATGTCGGCTCCTCTCAGACACCCAAATGCAGTGGTTCTTCAACCTCCAACGGTTACCATCTCTCCATTGATCCGTTTCGGACGTTACGCTGCTCTCGGACTTGGAGTAGTTTATGGTAAGCAATATTAAAGTTTTCCTTACTTAAAATTATATTCTTTTTCGACAAAATCATTGGACGAAACACTGGGTTTTGATTACGTTTTTAGGGGGCTTGCAGGTTTTGAGTTTTTATTTGGGAATCTGCATAAAACCATTAGAAGAAACAGTGACATATAAAGCAGAACCGATTGGTTGTTTTCATTTAAGCTGCGAAACAGTGTTACTAACCCATGTTAAAACCGAAAAATACCCGTGTTTCGCCGATGACTGCCGAGTTAGAAAATGTTGGTTAGAAAATTTTATGATAAAGTTTTTATTATAGAAAAATTAATTTGTGTTATGACAATATTTGACGATCATAATCGTTGGTAACTTTTAAAAATGGTTGTTTATGTGGGAAGATTTATGTTTGGTTTACAACCTATCTTATAAGGAGGTATATCTGTAGTTTTATGAGCTGAGTCTCAGTGACAGATTCTTCTTTTTAGAAACTGACTAATTCGCGATATTCAAAATTAGGTGGCAGTTTTGAGAAAATGTCAACCAATGTACTTTTAAATATCATCTTAATTCACATTTGTTCTTATAGTGATCTGTTAAATTCTGTGATTCTTCTTTTGTAAAAATAAGCTATAGTCGGCGTCCGGCGACTGCTGTACGTTAGTATATTTTAGTGCACCTTCGCTATGATCTCACACGGACGAATTGATTATTTATTCTTTTTAGCAGGGTTGTTAAATTTTGGGCCCGGCCGGCCGAAAGCCGGCTTTTTTCGCTGTCAAATTTTCGGCCCGCGATTTGGCCCCCGACTCCGTTGTTTACGGCCGCACGGCCGAAGCGGGAATTGAAAAAAAAAAACCGAATGCCGGCCGGCCGGCTTTCGGTCCCGGCTTTAATTTACCAACCCTGCTTTTTAGAGATCATTCCAATAATTTTTATTTTCAGTGATATTGTAAGCATTCAAGGAAATTATATACAAAACTTTTCACGTGAAAATTTAAAAATAAGCTTCTCGTGTGGCGATACCATTTCGAAAGCGCGCTCGTATATTTATCCGCATATATTCGAAGCCGGTCTAAATTTCTTACACAAAAATAAATTCGTTGTAAATTAAATGTTAGGTTGTGGATTATAACACTGTCTATGAAGTTATTTTAAGGTTTCCTCAGACTCCGTCAAATCCGTGAATACCACTCTGACATTCGTGAGTGGGAGCACGAGAAGGCCGTTGCCGCTGCTCAAGAAGCCGCCAAGCAGAAGAAGTGGCTCGCCAAGGACGAAATGAGATACTTGATGGAGGTAATATATATTTTCTAACCATTCGATTATGTTCCAGTGATTTAAATAGTTGAAAGGTTAGGTGCAAACACAAAAAGCCAGTAGTACTATAATTTTAATTATTGAAACTGTTGTTTCTCCGCAAATGCAAATTCGCGGCATAAGTTTGAAATTGATCGGGATGATTTTAAAAACATACTGTCATTCGATTGCGAAAAATTGGATAACATAAATGCCAAAATTCTATGGGAGAGGTTTTTTCTCAAAACTGAATGCCTAGAATAACGGGGTTAAAGGCGTAAATCATGTGCCAAGACCTATCCCCATTTTTCCGAAGTCGACAATATTGCTTATGACGATTACATAGTGGAAACAATTAGAATTGTCTGAAATAGTGGAGAAAAAATGTGTCATTGCAGTTATATTAAATCTTCATAGATTGTGTTTTACCGATGTAATTTCAGGTTGTCAACATTCCATTCGACGAGGGAGTCAAGCAATTCGGAGTCGCCGATCTTTACAAAGAATAAGCCGTTTAATGTATGCGCCTAATGTCTTTTCGAATATGAAAAAATGGCTGCTTTTGCGAATTAATCTGTATTGAATACGAATCGTCGGTCAAAAGAGCCATTTCTCTTTCGATCTGATGTTATGTCTCTTTCCTTTATCTTCTAAATGTTTTCTCGTCGTTTGTTTTAGAGAGCAGGTATAAATTTGTAATTTACAATTATTTATTCTAAAAGAAACACGAGTGAGCCTGACTTGAAGTCACATAGAAATCACATTCGTTAGAAGTGTTTTGGTCGAAAGTAATTATATTAGGCAACAAATGTTAAATATTCCTAATAGGAAAGAAATAAATTAAGAGTGAAGATAGTTGAATTAATTATATTCGATATGTTGAATAATATAGAATATTGGGGAATTTCGAAAAAGAAAATCGTTGGGAAATTTTGAAACCTAAAATGAGAAAGACGATTCGATTTGGACATTTCGGCGAATGAATTGTACAAATCACGGGTACAAGTGAACTATGAATAGATGAGAGAAAGCTGCACTAATAATATGTGCAATTGAGAAATCCCGTTAGAAATATGGAGGGAACCAGTTGAAAAATCAGTTATCGATATCGCCAATCGGCTCTTCGGGCTGCAGTTGTTTGCAATATTGGAACAGAATCTTTTGATAGTATTCTCGCGGTGTGAGAGTTCGAGCAGTTGAGCACCTCAAATGAACAATTCGGTGAAATTCAAATATTTTTTTTACATACCTGCTAGTGTTCAAGTCCAAACTCTCCATACTTTGTAACACGCGATCAGATGCAAACGAAAGAGTCCTAGGATGTTCAATCCATTTGAAATAGTAGATGTCTGGTGGAACGTAAGGCCTAAAATTGCGATGTCAATATTGAATTATAGCACAAATTACCGTCCACCGATCCAATTTAGATCTGGCTGTCTTCCGTTTATTAAACAATCCAGGAGATATTCCTTTAATAGTTATTGTATTTTACAACATTTTTGGAAAAAAAGTTCAACCTCTGGGAGCTGGGCGAGCTTATTGAGTTGTTCAGGAGTAAGACCGTAGTTCTTTTGAAGGAATGCAACGTAGCCAAAAACTTCGCCGAGGTGCACCACTTTTCCGCCGATGGTCATGAATGAGCGACCGAGACTTCTGCCGTAAAAGTGAATATCACGAATATACTCACTACCGACGAGATCTTAAATGATTCAATTGAAGGCATACGAATTGTTGGGTATTCTTACCAATACACATGGTTGTGATGATGAGACCGAGGACTACGTAGGCAAGAGTTGCTGGGAAAAATTCGACATTCAATGGAACAATATCACCAAACCCTAAAAATTGAATAAAAATCACGAAAAAATTGGATTTGTTACCGATTGTGGTAACCGTAACAAAACAAAAATAAAATGCGTCGAAGAATGTCCACTGTTCCCAATAGCGGATCAAATAAGCGCCACCCGCAACGTAGCCTGAAAAATCGAAATTGAGTTTGAAATTTTGGAATTGATGGCTTACCTAGCATAATGAATAAGATGAACACAACGGAAACTCGCCTTTCGTGATGCGGAGGTTCGACAATATCGACCTTCAGAGATGAATTTGGTTCAAAAATTAAATTTTTGTTTTACCTCGGGTCGATCGTTTTCGCCATCATTCTCGCCGAGTTCGCTGTTTTGAATATCGCTGATATCTGCAAATTGGTATTCTTCAATATCATATTATTAGTCTGTCGATTTACCATCAAAAGTTCCTGCCTCGCTGATATTGTCCCTGGCTGACTTCTTTTTTCGAGCTGTACCAGCTCCTCCAGCACTCGCCATTGTTGCTGCGACTCCTCCGCCGCCATTGTTATTGTTATGATTGTAAAGTTTTTGTTGTCTTTGTAGCAACTCAATTGTAGGCATCTAAATAAGGCAAAATTGAATTTGTGAGTGCGAGAGAGAGAGAGATCGAATGAACTTGAATATTAGTTCGCCGCCGAAGTATGACCCGACAACACATCCATTTGAAGCATTTCCAGCAATGCGAACAGCACGAGTCCATGGCGTTTCGATAGAGATTGTGAAACCAAATGATGCCGCCTGCAAATGCGACAAATTCGACGAATACCGAAATGAGATACCCGAAAGGAATCGGCCCATGTCGGCAATTGTGACGAGAATCAACGGAATTCCGAATAGAGCGTAAAAAATGATGGCGATTCGGCCTGCGTTCGTTCGTGGAACAATGTGACCGTAGCCTGAAATCGGCAGATTGGGAAATCTCTAAGAAACAAGCTCTTGGTTAAGGTGCACTTTTAATTTTCGATTTTTTAATTCCTTGAAAATGTTTGAAACAAACTACTTTTCAATGAATGAAAATTAGATCTGGACACCTCGTTTAAAGGTGCATGATTGTAAATTTAATTATGTGAGAGAAACTATCCATAGCACGATCCTATTCGTTCTTTTCAAATCAATTTGTCCTTGGTTTTGTACGACAAATTTAAAAGTGATTGCCAATCTATTGGAGTTTGTTCTGACATGTCGAAATTGCGTTCATCAAATATGGTCCGTCGCGGAATGAGCCTGATTGGGTCCGATAGCACGGGCCTTCCCGAACATATGCCAATCTCCTCCCCCCTCCTTGCCTACACTTAAAAACGTTCGGAGCCGCCAAATGATTCAATGTTTCCCGCGAGAATATCTCGCGGCGAAATTGCGCACAAATCGACGAGACGCCGACAAAGATTAATTGGATCCTGTATTAGGACGGACCACCCGCTTCCAACAACAACATCAAGTGCCTTTATCGCGACAATTAATCGATTCGGTTCGTGAATGTAAGTGTGTTTTTTATGCACACCGCCGAGCCGTGATTTATGAGAATCGGAACCATTCACATACCGATGGTTGTGATGGCTGTCCATGAGAAGAAGATGCTCGAGCCGAACGACCATTTGACTGGACCAGTGCCAGTGATCACATCTTCCGGTGTCATGTAGTTGCGAGTGTAATCCAAAAACACATCACGTATCAAATCATCCATTCTGCAATTTTGAGTTTACGAAAGATTTGAGGCAAATTTATGTTAAGGAAATTTAATTTTTCAAAAAGTTTTTTTGAGTCTTTTTAATTGAACGTGAAAGAGCATAATTAAAAAATTTAATTTTAAAGTGTCAAATTGGCGGAGTTTGAGTCTATTGTATTTTACGTGACCAATTAATTGTCAGCCCGCGCAATTCAAACATTTCAAATTTGTCCGTCCATGACAATAAAATAATTGAATCCCGAATCCTATTATAGTAAAAAAATTTCATTTTCAAATTCTCAATCGAGGTTTCGAAACTTCGTTCTTACCCATCATTCGCAATATGATGCCAACGCGCATATGACGTTCCATTCGTTCCCATTGCCCATAATTGTCGCATTACCCGATTTTTAAGATCATTGACTCGTTGCGAAGTCTCGTTGCGCAGTTGCTCTTCGAACGGCTTCTCATACTGCAAGCAACGGAACACACCGAATCATCAGAATTTGAAAGAACGCAAACGAAAGAAATTTATAGACAACGGAAATCGCTTACATGGTGAAATATTGCAGCGCCTAGTAAGGTGTACACCATCGACAGTAGGACTAAACCGATGTGGGGTAGAGCTATTCGAAAATTCTGAAAAATCAAAACATTATGTCTTGAAATCACGTAATTGAAAAGGCAAATTCGGTGTGTCACCGAAGCTAGACATTTTCTTAATGAAAATACGACACAGAATAAAAAGGTGCTCATCAGAATCACCTCTCAAGCGGAAATTTCTCGAGTCTTCAAATTTTAATTTTTTCGGCCTCGGTGTTTCTTCCAAAAACGTGCGGTTCGTTTTCCCTCATTCGATGCCTGTTATTCTTGAGGGCTCGCGACTTTTCGAGTTAGTCCCCGGGGACAATGTTGCACCGCTCTCGCCTAGACCTTGTCGGTCGGCCGGTCGGGTCCGGTTACTCGAGAAGACGCCATCACACACACATATGTACACGCCACTCTTCAAAATTCGCGCACTTTGACTCTTCTCTTCTGATGCTCCTGCTCCAACTCCATCGCGTCCTCTTCGTCTTCTGCTTCTGCTTCCGTTTTTGGGACCCCAACAATTTTTGGGTTGTGCTCCGTCCGGCCTTCCTGCTGGCGCACTGCAGGAAGGCGCGAGACCGCCGCTGCCGTTGCATTTGGACCTCACCAACGGGGGAAAAAAAGAATGGATAGTGCTTGACAAAACAAACATATGGCAACATCCCAAAAATGCAACAATGAATAACGCGGAACAAATAGTTTCTGGGAAATATGGAATCGAAATTGAATGAGATATTGAAAACCCTCAATCGCCCATTCCGATTTACGTCAATCACAACAAATAATTGGCTCAAGTGAAATGAATCTCAACATTCGATAAATTTGTGAGTTTTTAATTTTCCATAGATGAATCTTAAAATATACGAACCCTCTTCCATCTCGATTTCTTGGCGACCGGCTCATCGTTCTCCTCGTCAAGATTCTCGATTTCGCCCTCATTCTTGTCGAGATAGAGATTCAATCGTTCGGCACTGAAATAATCAAATGAATCCACTTAATTATGAATTAATACATCATTGCCCTCCCCCCCACCCGTCCTGGTCCTCCCATTTTCCTAAACAATTGCAATATTTCATTTCGCCGGCGTTGTTCACCGCACGCCGCCCATTCTTCTTGTCGGCTCAGCGAGCTCAAAATAAATGGTCGTAAAAGGATTGAAATACTAGTTATTCTCATCAATTTCCCGCATACCGCCCAATGTTTTTTTTGTTGCTTTTCTTCGCTCTTGCATGACGGCTTCGCGGATTATGCACTCACATTGACTACACGGAACACGACGATGAACACACACAACAAAACGATCGTGGTAATCGGTGCAAATTTTGTCATTTCTCGGTTTTCTCGAACGAATCTCGCGTTTCGATCCCGTTTCGAAAATTCGGTGCTTTTCGAATTTGTTGTTAAACACGGGGATGACAAATGACGCAAAACTCATAAAAGTGGACGAGACTTTCAAATGAGCTCCCCAATAAAACAGGTGTTTGACTCATTTTGAATGATAGCACACATGATCTTGAATCTTTTTTATGCTTTTTTAAACAATGCGGATAAATCTAAAATTTGAATTATTCTACTGAGCATTTTAAATATCCTACGACAAAATTTTATGCGGCTTAGTACCTTATATAGAAGCAGCAATAAAGTGAAATGGAATATAAACAAGAAATTGGAATTATTAGTTTCATCAAATTTGATTCGAATTTCGAATAGCAGATTTTCAAAACGTTTTCAGCTATTCAGATTGCTTACTGAACCAAATTGGTGAATCCACTCGACGAAAATGTATAGAATAGTTTTTTTCGAATCGAAATTCCTTACTAATGTCGATGAACTCTTGATGGTTCGTAGAAGAACTGCGGCGATGATAGTCTGCCGTGAATATTCATCGCTTTTATTTTGGAGGCGTCGAGACGCAAGTGTCAAATTGGATACGATGTGTCTGCGCGGAAGGGGTGGCCGAGGTAAATGCCGCGGCGCAAAAAATGAGACAAATAATTCACGAAGTGCTACTCAATGAGGGGGGGGACACATTTACTAGATTCATTCAACCATTGTTTTTTGTCGAATTTTATATTTTGATGGACTTTTACAAAAAATGAGCGACGAAAATTGGAAATTTTCGAGAGTAGAAGGGTACGAATGAAATTCTAGAATCATACGATTTGAACGATGATCAGATCAAATTTCTTTGGAGAATATAATGTTTTAAACCTTAATTCTTCAACTTCTGGCGGATTAAACGCGGACGCTGAAGCGATTTGTTGTAGATTGTATAATGATGGCGGCGACGACGGAGGTCCCATCGAGATGCCCGGCGAGGAGGGCCGATGATGGACGCGCATGAACGATGAGGTCGATGGCTGATGCGAGATCGGCGGACCAGGCGTCGACGCCCGATGCTTCATATACAGTGGATTGAGCATTGTGCGTTCGACGAGTCGGCGACGTCGCCGGCGGCCTCACCGGCGACCGTACTCGGCCTCTTGCGTCGACGCTTCCGATCGCGATGATGGTGCACTTCGAACAACGGTTTCTTCACCACACTCGATGATGGTTGAATTGAGCAGCGATTATTGAGCGCGCCTTTCGTCAACCCGATCATCCGGACGAGTATCGGTGCATTGGCTCGGCACGACGGCGGCGCACGTTTTCGTCGGTGTGAGTGCGAATGAGTGCGGCCGGCAAGAGAATCCCCAGCCGATATGCGTTTCGATCTGCGAATTCAATTCGATTCACTTCGAATTCAACAAAAGTGTGCCGCTGTGCATAAAAATGCGACGATTGAGAATAATGCGAGGTAATAAAAATCAAATGAGATATGAATGCGCAAGATCAAAGGTGGGGGGATTCCTATCTGAATATGCGATGCGGTTTAAATTCAACGACGAACCGGTAGTTTTAAAAATGTTTAAGTCTGGCAAAAATTTAAGAAGCGGAAAAATGCTGAATGACTCGTTAATATTCGTTATTTTTAGTGGTGTTCGTCCCCACAAAATTCATTTAGTAATTCATTCTATCCTGAATCCGTCGGGCTTCCGTTCGTTTAGAGTAATTAAATAATCTTCCACTCAAAACGGCATTCAAGTGTGTACGAGTGTTTTCGCGAGTAGTGACAGCGTGTAATCAATCCGGCAAAACTAACAACATGGGCCATATATGGATCCCCTTATTTAGGTTTTTGCGCGAAGAAAAAGAGTGCATAGGGGGGGGGGTCGAAATCAGATTAGTAACATCAACGGTTGCCACTCAAAAAGATATGAGTATGTATACACAATGGGGAGTTGGAGTCCGAAGAAGGGAGATCCTCGATTCTTCAAATTTCGAACCATTTTTATCTGATTATCTGACAGCTTTTTGGACGAATATTAAAAAGAAGACCCACAAAAAAATTGGATGGTGTTTGTGAAGTGGTCTCGAGAAGATAACAACAAAAAAACGTTAGTTTGAAGTGTTCGCTTATGTCGAAGAAGAAGAAGAAGCTTTGAAAATTATTGTTCACCAAAAGAATGTATTGAAAATTGCTGCTCGAGTGTCTCGTCTACAACTTTCTTCACTAATTACTGAGCTTCCGGAGAAAAGCTAATTATTATTTAAATATGAGTATTTTTTTTTTTTCAATTTTTGTCAAGATCCAAAAGAGTTTCGAGAAAACTTACCTGAAATCTACTGAAGCGAATTTTGAGAATCGCGAACGACTAGAAATTTGCACATAGGTCAACATTCCTGGGCTTTCAAACATCTTTCTAGTAACTAACTACCTAGGGCGGCGAAAATCTTATAAATTAGTCACCAGCTTCTCCGAATAGCAGCACATTCTCACACATTCAATTGTTGCAAGGTTTTTTTTTCGCCGAAACGAGCCGAGTCCAAAAATGTTCATAATTTTGACGAACATGTCAGAAAGTGCGAAGATGAGCGGAAGTGAACCGACAAAAAAAAGTAGAAACAACACAAAAAAAGGAAAAAAAAGAAAGACGGATGAATGAGACGAAGAATCTGAAAAAAAAGTGTTGGTGGTATCATGATGTCGTGTATTCTTCAGTTTCTTCTTCTTCGTCATTCTGACCTGCTTCTTCTTCTTCACGATAGACTCCGCCCACTCGGGCCCTCGCATCGCTTCTCCGCCCTTATGCTCTGACTCGACTCGACTACGGCCTCAGTTGTTCGGTTTTCCCGAAGGAAATGAGTGAGAAGAAACTCTTGGTCGAAGCGATACGCCACAAAAATAAGGAGGAAAACGCACCAGCGAAAAAAAAGCCCCGGTTGAGAGGGAAAGTCGGAGTTGATAGATTTTTAAGGCAAATCGCTAGAGCCGTCTTATTATCAGAAATTCGTCTGTAACACATATAACTCTTCTGGTTTTCAGAACATATAGATAATTCGAACGAAAGGAATATAATGCTTGGAATAATCTATGTAGAGTGTTCGTGCAGCGATGCAGATGGGCGGTGCGTTAGACAGCGGCCATTGACGGCAGTTTAAATATACATAATTGCCAATTTATAATTGAAGGCACCAACTTTTTGTTTGGCGAAAATGCACGAAACGACTCATATATTGCCAAAGATGGACGAATATAACAAATTGAAGTGATCAAACGCGTTCAGCTAATTTTGATCTTAACGCAAAACGATCACATTTCTGTATGCGCCTTTAATATCTAAATATTTAGTTTTCAATACACTTCATACTAGATCAAAGCAAAAAATAATTACAGGACCACGGCGCCAAAATTTCAGATTTCTAATTGGTAGATCAATATATCAATCTGGTAAGTTGTTGAAGATTCGCGGAAAATGCGTCCTAATGGTAAACGACTTATTGGTTTATTCGATGTTATTTTATCTCATTGTTTTTTTTTTATTGAAAAGAATAATGAAATGCGAAACATAGCATTTTTGAAGATGGAATAGAAATGTAAAAATTCCGAACAAATTCCTATCTTTTTAGTTGAGAATAAGAAGGACGAATCCGACAAAAATTTTAAGCGTCAGAAATAAAAACTTTGGGAATCTTAAATGACGTTTTGATTTCGATTATTATCATTTTTTGACATGCACAAATGAAAATAACGCATGCAGAAAAAAAAAAAAAACAAAGATGACTAATTCTACAGCATCCCAAACAGTTTTACCTGTCACTATTAAATCCGTTAATGCTATGATAGTTGTTCGCCTTTGCCGATGTTGGAAAAAACGCTTCCAAATAAGAATAGGACTTTTGAAATTTGGAATGTTTGCGGTATTTGTCGAGCCATGGGTCGACAAGAAGGGATCGACTATAGGTCATATTCATAAGATAGGAAACGTCGAGTACAAAATAAGAATGAGCACAAGAAAAGTGCCCGGGGCGGCAGGCTCAAAAATCTTTCATTTTTTTTTTGTTCTTAAAATGCCTCATAAAGAAGATTACGTTTATGGGATAGTCAAAAAAATTGTTAAAGGTCCAAACTGGCAATTTTCGATGTCCAACGTTCGAGACTTACCGATAAATGCGATGAGCAAATTTTGCCCTTGCGAACATTTTTCAAATTGTGTGTGTTTGTGTGTGAAATTGTCTGATTTGATTGCTGCTGATGCTGCTATATCCGTTTGCGTTTCAACCGTACCAACATATTAGCGACAGAGGAGAACGATGAGATTGGTTCAATTTTACTAATAATTCAATTAAAATTGAAGATTTTTTACGAAAAAAAAATTGAAGACGATAAGGAAGAAATGGAAGATTGATGGGTATTAGTGCGGCAGCAAAATTCTTATATTATTTACATTAATTAATAAAAAAATGTTCGAATGATTGATATTGTAGAATAAATGATATCTAGGGATGCTCTGTTGTCAAAAAAAATTGCAAAAAATGTATTTTTAAGACCTAGTTTTTGAAAAAAAATATTTAGATATCACGTTTAAAATTAATTCAGTGATAAATTTGACACTAAAAAAAATGAAAAAAAGCGAAATATTTTTGAGCAATGAATGTGTCAAATAATATAAAATATGCGAAATTTTTGCTCGAGATTATCAAGCATTGTTATGCATGAATAGCTTCTCTAATTTGTGCACAAAGTGCATTTTAATTGTTTCGGCGAAATGTAAATGATACACTCGGATCTGTATCGAATTACATTCAATCGATCGATTTTAGGGTTGGTTTGTGTAAATTTTTGCAACAAGTAAATCTGCGCAAAAATGAGACGCGAAAGTAAAACAAGAATGGCGTTTATGAGAAATTTTGCGAACACATCAATTCTTGATTCCTTTCATTTTTTTTTGGGTTCGTTTTTCATATTTTCATCATCATCCGCGGTCGCGCTTCTTCCCACTCCGAATATTCCATTTTTTTTATTTTCTTTTCTCTTGCGAATTCGTGCCGAGAGCGCGAATAGACTTTGCCAAAAATGGAATAATTGAATGCGACGGAAGCGATGATGCGCGAGAAGCGAACCGACATAAAAAAAAATATATAAATCGAAATAAGTGCGCACCGGCACGCTTTTGCTCAAGGCTCGAGTTTGAACACCTCAATGGCGAACAAAAAAAAAAGGAAAAACTGTTCACTACTTTTCTATATTTTAAATGAATACAATTATGACAAAAATTACATAAACCGACTCAAATTTCAATTTTCATTAAAATTCAGAAAATAAAATCAGTATTTTATAAATTTGGAAATAAATCACAAAAAAAGTAATATTCTTTAAAACTAAAATTAAAAAATAATCTCAAAAATCATTCGAAGAAAAGGACACGTCGAGGATTCAAGTTAATAATAAATTTATGGAAATATTCAAATATTCGTTCCGGCAATTGTTCTGAATTATATTTTTTTGCAAAAATTCCGTCCTGCTTTCGATATCTTTCTTTTTTTTCGTATCTAAAGTGATGGAAATACATTTTAAAAAAGTTTATCCATGCAAGATGCATTGTAGACTTATTCTGCGAATTGAAAAAAAAAATAATTTTTTTTACATTGATGGAATATAAAAAATAACAGCTTTTTCATTAAAAAAAAGGTCCCTTAGTTTACTAAATTGCACACAATATGAAAGTAAATTTTCGAAAGGTTCCGAGTAATTTTTTATTTATAAATGACTTTCTCCATTTTTCATTTCCGCGAACCCATTATCAATCATTTTCACAGAACGATTCAATGCATTCAAAAATCATTTCTCATTTATCAAATGTTTTTTTTTGCAAAGAAAGAACATTGCCAAAATCGGCCAATTTATCAAAAGAAAACTTCCGCCTTGATTCAAATTAGCGTCTTCCGGGTGTCGAGTACGAATAACGACAGAGCTCTGAAGGTGTTCAGTGGAAGGGGAGGAGGGGGGGGGCTCGATTTGAGGCAAATGACAAATTTATGCTGCCGGTGGGTCATTGACATCAAAAACATATTAGACAATCTAAGTTTTCTCTCTTTTAGA